TTCACATGTATGTCTTTCTTGGATTGAGCCTCCAAAGGTACAGAGGGATTTCTGTTGAATTTAAGGCTATTCTTGATGTTGGCAATAATACAGAATGTGCAGCTAGGAGGGTGGCTGTATTGAGCTGATAGAAGTGCATACTATTGATTCTTGCATCCCTTAGAATTGACTAGCCTTTGAACAAGGGCAGATTGCTTATGTCTTGAATAGACTTAAAATTTTCTCTTTTCCTATATAGCCCATTTAGAAACTATGGACTATTTTTTGCAAATATTTCTTTTTAACCACTTACCTATGATTTAGAGTCAATTCACAATAATATGTTTATATTGCCAAAGACATTGCTTAAATTTAGCAATTACTACATAAATACATTTTTATTCTATTAAAATAGGTATATCTTTTGATGTGTGAAATCAATTCTTGCTATCATAAACTTATAACCTAGTAATATAATGTCTAAACTCTGAAAAATAACTGAAAAAATACAGTTTTTGATGGACTTTAGGAAAGCTCAGATCTTGTTGGAAGATCCAGGCATGACTGAAGAGATGGTAGCGTTTAATAAAGATTTTGAGTGATGTGAAGAATTTCAAGGAACAGGGAAGGGGAAAGTGTAGAGTTTTTAACTTTAAGTAAAGGAATGGGAATAGATGCTGAGATTGGGATACTTTGCCAGAGCACAATAGCAAGAAGTTAGGGATGAGTGGAATGAAGCTTATGTGCTTGAGATAATGAACGGTGAGGCAGCAAAGTTGGGTTATGACTAGAGTCATTGATTTCAAAACCTTGATGGGAAACAAACTGTATTGAGATGACCATGGCCACAAAGTGTACGAAGAAATGGAGAAGGGTAAAATTATAAGCCACAGCACATCTTGTGAAACTATTGTATTATATTCAGAAAAAGTAGTAGTCAGCATTAACAGTGAAAAAGAAAAAAAAGAGGGAGGAGTATTTTTAGGGATATTATAGAATATTATCTATAGAAATTGGCAATTAAAAAGATATAGGGGCATAGTAGGAATTTAGGAAAGAGAAGTCTCAGTCCATTAATGCTGCTATAACAAAGCACCTTAGACTAACTAATTTATGGACAATAGAAATTTATTTCTCACAGAGGTAGAGGCTGAGAATCCCAAGATCAAGGTGAATGTAGATTCAGGTGTCTGGTTAGTTCTCACTCTCTGCTTCTTCTTGCATTCTCACTTGGTTGAACAGGTGGAAGGGATAGGCTATACAGTAGGCTATACAGTATTTGTCACAAATACTGATTTTTTTTTTGCAGGCTATACAGTATTTGTCACAAATACTGATTTCTAACACTGTAGCATTGAAACAGACATAAACAACGTGTGGTAGAGGAATGATTTTGATAGAACTTTTATGGAAACAGGCTGCAAGCAGAATTTGACCCATTGGCTATAGTTTATTGATCCCTGATTTACTCTCTCTGAGCCTTACTTCTGAGTGGGTTGTGGGGGGAAAACCCTATCATCACTCTAGAAAGTTTATTAGATTTCTCCAGGCTTCTTCTGGCTGTAACACAGCAATCTATTTTTATCTTGCTGTTTTGATTCCAATATCCCTCTCTAAAGAGCCATGTAATAATATCAGTCTAATTGACAAGGTTTGTACATTCTCTATCCTCAGCCTTATAACGTGTGGTGCAAATATTTTGCTAATTGGCCTTTGTTAGTGGTGCTCATGGAATTTGTTTAGGTAGCCAATAATGTCTTATTTGTGCTGAAAAAAAGTTCATTGATTATATATCTTTCTCTTGAGACTTGTAGACATCTAGTGCCTTGAACTGTTAATCTACCTTTCTTCACGATTCTTCCCTCTGCAGCATTGTAAAACAAAGTCTTTAATAAGCACAATTGGCAGCAATTGCATCTATTCAACGTTGCAACTTAAACTCCTAACAGATTATAAGAAATCTTAAAATTGTTCCCTCAGTCTCATACTCTAAGGGAGCTATAATTAATTTTGAGTTGTTACTTATACTTACATCAAAAAGAAAATATGTATACAGTTATGTTATATATTTTTTATTTGATCATTCTTTGGGGTAAGACGTAATATGTTTACATAAAATAATATAATGTGAAACAACCAGATACTTTCCAAGTGTGCTTGATTTGTTATTCAAGTATGAATTCTGCTAGCAATCTTAGTCAAAGGCCAAAATTTTACTACTATAGTCAGAGCCCTAAGATTTGATTTTAGAAAACCTGTCTTTATTGCATTTTCTACTTTTAAACCACTCTGTGTTTTATGTTAAGGTCAGACCAGTTACGTTCCTCCACAGTGCTTGGTGTTTAAACTAAAAGATTAAAAGCAAGATAGAAAAATTTTCTGCTTAGGGTTATCCCCATCGAAGTGTGTGTGTGTGTGTGTGTGTGTGTGTGTGTGTGTGTGTGTGTGAAGACATCAAATATTAACTATTGTTTTGTAGTCCAAGCATACTCTTTAATTTTGGATGAAATTGATAATACGCATACTTCTAATTTAGCTTTATTTTTTTCCTCATCAAGAAGACAGTAAAACTATTAGCACATCATTATAAAAATTATAAACTTTCAATCTAAGAAGGAAGCCAGAAGATGAGCCTTGGGGGATTTCTATGTCTGTGTTCAAGTTTTGCTCTCTCTGCTATAAAAAATGAGTTCTTACATAATCAAATAGAGTTGAAACCTTGGTGGTAGGTATAGGGAAAATATAAATGCAAAATTAAATGCAATATCAGGCAGTGGTAGTATTCTCCATTTGTAGAACACATAAAGTAAACAAAAAGTTAAAGGAAAATAGTAGATACTATTTCCCAGTTATATCCTGAGTATAATCTAACATTGCATTGGTATTAGAGATGGAGGAGAAAGTATTTTGTGAAGTTCATAAAAATAAATTAGATACTAAAGCATTTTGATAATCAAGTGTTGAGGAGTATTGGGAAAAATCATCAATGCTTTTTCTTTGGATATTTAAAAAATTTTTGTAAACATTAAACAATGGAAAATTACAATAAGGCGAAGAAAAAGAAAAACAGAAAAAAAAAAGATAAACTGCAAAGATGGAAGATAAAAATAAGTAAACGATTCTATTAAAACCAATTTATGGCTGGGTGTGGTGGCTCACTCCTGTAATCCCAGCATTTTGGGAGACCAAGGTGGGCAGATCACCTGAGGCCAGGAGTTCAAGACCAGCATGACCAACATGGCAAAACCCCCTCTGCTAGTAAAAATACAAAGATTAACTGAACATGGTGGCAAGCACCTGTAATTCCAGCTACTCTGGAGACTGAGGGACAAGAATTGCCTTAACCTGGGAGGCAGAGGTTGCAGTAAGCTGATATTGTGCCACTGTACTCCAGCCTGGGCAAAAAGAGCGAAACTCCGTCTCCAAAAACAAAACAAACAAAAACAAACAAAACCCAACTTATTCCACAACTTAATGCACTACATTTAAAAAAATTGTACCCCTAATTTCTTATCTGCGGCAGATTTCTTCCTTTGTTACTAGGAAAGTACATGTTAGTCTATATGGACATTTGAAACCAACTTTGGTGTACAGTTTCATCAGTGATCACTGTGGTACCTAGATATGAGATGTAATGAGAAATATTTATAGTGAATCTGTGGCATTTGGGGTAGAAGTAAATTCATTCAGTATTGATTTGCTATAATTAGTGTTTACCTTTCTGTTAAATACTGTGTTCAAAAAAGGGGAGAAGCATATATTTTCCAGCACAGAATTGGTAGTACTTTTCTGGAATATAGATTCAGTATTGATTGATTATGTTTTTATTTTCCTTCTTTCTTTCCTTCCTCTCTCCCTTTCTTCTTTCTCTTATTTCTTCCTTCCTTTGTTATCTTTTGAGACTTCACATTCAGCCTTTTGTATTTTCGCAAAAAGGACTTTTGAATATTGCTACAAACTATAGTTTTGTACTAGGAGCATTTCAAATATTCATAATTTGTTGCTTTTGGCCAAAGTCCATCACAATTTCTAGAGTACAGCACTGGCTCACTATGAGCCTTAAGCATCTCAGATGTTTTAAGCACGATAGAGTTAGAATGAGCTTTTGAATGTGAAAAACATCCAAATGAATTTCATTGCCTCAGATAAGCACATTTCTCCTGTAAGTTTGCCTTTACTTTTGGTGTAATCAACTAAAAAAAAAAAAAAAAAACGAGTTAACTGTTTGAAAAGTAAAGTCCTTTTATAAAGCAGTAAGAAAGTTGTCTTTCCAAGAATTGCTCTTATCTTTACACAACAGCATCATTTCAAAATAAAGCACAGAATAAGGGTCATGTACAAGATGCTCTAACTTGAAAGGTCTTTGGATACGTATATTTGGATCTAGAGAAACATAGTGACATCTGCCTTTGATTATCGTTAGATGGATAAATTCTATTTCTAGGACTGTATTTAAAACATTGCAACATACACAATGATATTATATGTTCTGGGAATATGGCACACAGTGGTTATTTTTAACATAATTATAGATGTCTAACAGGTTGTCTTTGAAATAAATTATTTTTTAAAAGATTTTCATGGAAAAATTAGAATTCTTCACGATTTAAGCCATGTTTATATTAGGAAAATTTAAAAAAAAAACTACTTGAATAAAAATTTCTATTTGCTTTACAATTGTCAAGATTGTCAAGATTAACTTTACAGAAACTTTGGGTTAATTGCTAAAATATCTAATTTGTTCAACTACTCATATTGTACTTCTTCTGACAATGTTAAACAGTTAAAGAGAATGAGAAAACATGATGTTTTTTCATCAATCAGTACTGAATCCATATTTTAGAAAAGTACTACCAATTCTGTTTGTTCAGAAAAAAAATTAGGGTAATTATAATATAGAAAAGGAATTAGCAATACATGCATTTTTACTGTAGACCAGGGCTCCTTACCTCTAGGAATCAAATCACTGTCTATAGATAGAATCATTTTTACTCTGTTGCTTATTTATCTCCATTTTTCAGATTGTTTTAAATTTTACAACGATGGATCTATACAAGAGTAGTTTGTGCTGGTATGACTACATAGAAGTAAGAGATGGGTACTGGAGGAAATCACCTCTCCTTGGTAAGAGATCTTTTACCTTTTATGTGGCTGTATATCTAATCTGTCCTGTCCAAAGAAAATCAACCAACTCTTTCAAGAGTCATCTTAGAGTTAAAAATATACGTGACTAACATTATTTTTATTTTAATTATACTTTTTTCTACCATACCCCAAATACTCAAAGACAGGCAAATGGATAAATACATGGACTGATTAATTAATTTGAGCTAGCTTAAGTTACGAGGTAACTTAATACCTGGATTTAAACATAATGATTTAGACTAGTTTTCTCATGTATTGTGCCTATCATGAGAACTCCTCACAATGTTTCTGTATTTTTGCCTTAAGAATAAGTTTTGATTAAAAAAAAAAAAGCTAACTGTGGGTAGATAGATAGATAGATAGATAGATAGTGTACTTATGTGTTTTGTTTTTGTTTTGTTGCTAAGCCAGTAGTAGAGCTATTAGGTACATGTTTGGTAGCTGGCTTCCTATGCCAAGCATATCAGCTCTTACTGTAGACATCACAATTTTGCTTCTCAGAGAGCTTTTTGTGGCTGAGAAGACACTTGGAGTTTGTGTCTTAAATTGTAGCTTAGATTTGGTGCTCATGAAAGTCTGTTGCCAACGTTTAACCACAGACCACACTATTAACTTGCACAGGCAGTTTACTGTTGCCCTCTGTTTTACTTAAAGGTGAGAGCTGTTTGAAGCACGCAAACATCTACTCTATATTGATCCTTTTTGAGGGTGTGACTTTTTCTTTATTTTTAAGTAGTTTCTCCTTGTGTTGATGAACCGTATAGAATTTTTAACATCTAAAACCTACTGAATGGACACAATTGTATTAAAACTGACAGCAGCCATAGTAATTCCAAGAGATATGTAGAAAAGTAATTGAACTAATTTGGTAAGTCAGGTTAAAGAAACCATTGCCTTCTACATTTACTTTCTTAGCCTAGAAAAAGCAATTTTTTACATGTGCATGCACAGGACAAAGAAAAAATATTTCATTTAACTCATATTGGAGAAACAAATCTAGAGTTGAAATTCTGAAAAACACTTCCTTTTAGGCACCATCAGCATGACATGGCTTAGTGTATAATGGATGACCAGAGTGACACAGTGTAATCATGGTTTTAGTGTGAAAATCTTTCCCTACTATATCTTCCAAGACTGTGCTCCAAGAAGTGCAGCACTTAGGCTGGTAGCATCAGAATCATCCAGAAAGTTGCTAGAATTATAGAAAATTGGATCCCACTCTATATACTCTGAATTAGGGTTTGCATTTTAATAGATTTCCTAGAAATTCAGATGTACGCTACAGTTTAAAACACACTGCTCTGTATTACCTGCCTCTAATTTGTTTAAAACACACTACTCTGTATTACCTGCCTCTAATTTGTTTAAAACACACTACTCTGTATTACCTGCCTCTAATTTGCTTTGCAATTTAGGAAACTATGTCTTCACCTGTTAGCTGTTAGGACAAACTTGCTTTATGCAATTTGGCTACCATTTTTCATACACTAAAACGATGTATGCCATTTCCAGAGACACATAAAAATGGATAACATTGTAATATGTTTGTAGAATTATTGCATGTGCTTTTTGTCGTATTTAGGCATTTTGTGATCATGTGAAAGCTTAGAGCATAAAGGCAGACATAAGCATAAATATTTGTGGAAAGAAGAGGAAGAAAGAAAGGAATGACAGATATTATATTCATTTGTTGTAATTCATATTTATAGATACAGAATTAGAAGAAATTAGAACTCATGCTCAAGTCTCCTGAAAGTATTTGTTATTTTGCCTATAACACTACATATTACAGCTTTGTAGAAGAGATGGAATGTGTTCAGGTACAGAAGATATTAAGAGTAGCCTCAGGGTTTTCCTCAGGTGTTATTATTGAACCTGGCTGAATAAAGAACTCCACTTTGACTGAGAGCACATTCTTAACCAAGTCATTTCCCTGCTGTTGGCCAGGCTGACAATTTGAAACTACTTTCTTAGGGTGACTTGCACCTTTTTCTGTTCCCTATTAAATAATATTCCCCACTTTGATGCATCATTTGATCTTTTTCAAATACTGTTTTTGAGGAACCATCTTACTTCTATATATGGTAATGATACTGACATCAGTCAGTTACTTTCAGGCTGATGTTCAAATACTTCATAAATAGATAAGAAGATATTGTTTTGTTGATCTACCATTAGTAAGTAAATATTAAGACCTAGTTGTGGCTGTAATCACTTGGAATAGAAATGTGAACTAAGTCAGTGTTTACATATTATTTGTGCCTAGTACGAAAAGAAAGTAGACTATAGAGTCCTACTTAGGAGTTTCTCTTTATTCTTTTATTTCTTTTAGGTAGATTCTGTGGGGACAAAGTACCTGAAGTTCTCACTTCTACAGACAGCAGAATGTGGATTGAGTTTCGTAGCAGCAGTAATTGGGTAGGAAAAGGCTTTGCAGCTGTCTATGAAGGCAAGTCACATTGAATTTTGGGGAGTAGTTCATCTTATATCTCAACAGAAATGTCCGTTTCTTCATTTCATTACAATGACATTGTGATCATATTTTTAAATTATGAATTTTTCTGAATCTGTATTTTAATATTCATACAGATAATTTTAATAAAAATACTCAGTGATTTAAATTACAAGAACAATCTGTTTTCTGGTATCAGTGACATAATAATATCTGAATGTGCTCAGGATGCGTGGGGAAAAAAGCAACTGGTGCAAGCACTCTTAAAGTTTCATTGTTTCATGATAGTTTTAAAATGTTATGAAGAAATTATCATTTTCCATTGTACTGATTTTCTGTCTGTTTGGTCCCTGTATTCCTGAAATACTTTTTATTAGAGGAAATTGCACAGAAAGTAATTGTGCCGATTTCTGGGCCATGCTTTATCTAAATAAGAGAGTCAGCATTTGAGGAAGGACTTATTAAATGCTTTGTTTTATGCTTCTCTGAAACAATAAACTGGCATTGTGTTTTCTTGGCTTTAAAACAAGCTCCTTTCTTGCCAGGTTGTGGGTGGAGGAGACACTTCCTAGTACAGCAATTTAAGTAATTTTGAAGACAGAAGATTTCTGCTTCCTTTAAACTTTTAAGTAAACTGAAGCATTTTGTTTTAAGGATTAACTGCCTAGCAGTGAAGAGGATTATTTAGAGGGAGACACAGACACTGCACACACGACACTAACTCACTGCCACAGCCCCGGTGAATTCTGTTTGGGATGAATTCTGTTTCTGATGAGTTATTTTACCTGCATTCGAAAGGCCAAAGGCAGCAACTCAGAGAATCACATAACAAACTCAGAGAGAATAAATTCACAAAGCCACTAAAAGTTTTTAAAGGTTAAAAAGTGCATTTTTGTTAAGACGGGATTACAAACTATCTATTCTTTGGACATTATCTGATATTGGTAGTTATTTGACTAGGTTTTTTTTTTTTTTTTTAATCTTATAAATATCTGCTACATTAAACCAGTCAACTTTGATTTTTATTGCCTGGTCTTTATGTACTGAGCTACAGGAGCTGAACTTAAATTTTAACATAGAAGACAATGAAAACGAAATGGCATGTCTAGGCTTAGTTATTTGTTTTTTGCTTTCTTTAGCAATCTGTGGAGGTGAGATACGTAAAAATGAAGGACAGATTCAGTCTCCTAATTATCCTGATGACTATCGCCCAATGAAAGAATGTGTGTGGAAAATAACAGTGTCTGAGGGCTACCACGTCGGACTGACCTTTCAGTCCTTTGAGGTAAAGTCTTCCTGGCGCATATTCTCCATAAACGACAATGGCATTTAAGAGAATCCTCATTAAATCGGCAAAGAAACAGAGAATCAGCTTTTTAATCAGCAAAGAAGTAAAGGATCACTCATAAAATGCAACATCAAGAGCAAAAGGTTTTGTTTTTCTTCTTTCCTAGTTCACAGACATTTTCAAGAAGATTAAAGTGAGTTTACATTATCTGTGCTATTTGAATTAGAATGTTTGAAGTACTGACAATAGTTTCTTTTGACAAATGCACAGGCTTATTTCACAAGACTGCTGAGAAGGTCCTTTAAATAACAGAACTTTTGTTTCTCATCTAAATTAAGAGGTAAAAAGGTAGTCTTTTTTGTAAGAAGAACAAAATATTTTTCACCTTTTTTTTAGCATTACACAGATAATTGTTTATATCAAAATTATGGATTTTAAATGCTCCTATGAATTTTCAACTTCCTTAAAAATATTTGTCAGGGGTATCAGCAGCATCGTTTTGTTACTAGATGGAGAGCCAGAAGAAACAAAAGCTAATCAGAATTTTTGGATCAAAGTCCAGTTCCAAAACTACCAAACTGGCTCATGAACCATTTTTATGGGATGAGCGAGACTGAGTTAAGGATTTAAAACCAAGAAATAGAGGAATGTGTCAGAAATTCCAGAGTATGTTTAAATCAAAGGGTCGGTCTAGAAATTGAGAGCTTAAGTTGAAGTGGAGAGGAACGATGAGATGCTGGTGGTAGGTCCTAGCAAGGGTTGGAAATTTAGATGTGTGATTGGAGATGGAGTCTTTACTGATTAGAGGACTAATTCACTAAGTGATCAAAAGGCAGTAATGACCCTTATTACTCAGTGGGTAGTAATGAGCACTAGAAGCACTAACTGCCCACTGAGGACAGTGACCATGGTTATGGTCGTGTGTCTGTAGGACAGCAGGAGCACCAGGAGGATCCAGGCATTACCAGTAAACCCAGAGAATCTCTCATCCTCATCCTCAAGCCTGTGTGTTCTGCTCCTTTAGTACTTGTCTCTGTCCCCTTGCATGTACCATTTAACTTCCCAGACAGATTTCTGTTTATTGCCAAAAAATATATACTTTCTACTTTAATCATTATGTTATTTTTTTTGCTCCTGCCCATTTTTTTTTGGATTTTTAGAAACTTTGCTGCCATTATTTGATAGACAGTTGAACTTTGTTATTTTAATGGATTAATAAGTTTGCAAATACTGTTCAAATAGACCAGTTTATTGTTGATAGTGAACTAAAAATGAGTAGAAAAATTTCACCCATGATTTGGACAAAAGTGTTCATAAACATTATCTACCCAGTGTCTGTATTTGCTGTGTTGTGTGATATTTCAGGAATTAAGAGATTAACTGTCTTTTAATATGTAATTCAGTTTTTTGTGGAGTTCAATTATAGATGTGATACTAGAAAATGCATTTATTCTGTCAACCTGGAAACTGATGCATGACATTGCTAGCTTAGTTGATTTGCAGTTTTTTTTTTAATTGATCAATGCAGTAGCAGTGATAGTCTTCAAAAATATGAGAGCATAAGGACAAATGGAAATGATTTGCGTCTTAGGCACTTAGAACCGTACAGACACATAGTAGTCACTTAATAAATACTTGCTTACTGAGTGACTCAGTGATTACTATGCTTAATGACCTCGGAAAAGTCATATCGTAGGATGGCTGACAGTACATTTTATTTATTGTTTCTAGTTTCCAGTCCTATCTTCATATTGCTTTATTCCTTTATGTTTCTGCCTCCCTCGTGTTTTGATATCTGACAGACCTCTCATCTTTAAATGGCCAAACCAGAACCATTGGTTATGTTGTCTTACTCACCAAACTCACTCTTATTTAATTTATTTCAGCACATTTCAGTACTTCTTCTCACCACTTATCCAACAAAAATCATTAATTCCACCTTTTCTCTTAAGCCCTTCAGCCAGTCTATCAGCATATTTCAGTTGCTTTGTCTTAAACTATACCCGGTACACAATGACTTTACACCACCATTTCCACCATCCTCTCTTTGCTTGGAACACATAGCGAGAGCCTCAGGTTTCTACTCTTGCTCTGCATATCCCATTCTTCACCTCACAACCAGAGTGATGCTTTTATAATGTATTACAACACTGCTCTACTTACAGGGAGTTTCAGTCACACCTAAAATAACATCTGGACTCTATTATCATGGGCCACGGCACTTGTGATTTGGCCTTTGGCTCCTTCTTACTCCCTCTGTGTCAGCTCTTCTCACCCTCTTTTTCTTCCTCAGAAACACCAAGCTCACTCCCGCATCACAGCATTTGCCACTGATGTTCCTCTGCCCCAGGTGTTTGCTTTTATGCTATTACTTTATTTGGATCTCTGCTTAATTACCACCTTCTTAAAAAGTTCTTGTCTGATAACACTACTTAAAATATTTTCTGACCTACAATTATCTCTAAATCATCACTCTGTTTTATTTTTAGTTAATTGCACTTCCAACTACTGGAATTTATACAGATCTGTTTATCTACATGTTTATTATCTGTCTCTCTCACTAGAATATGACCACTAGCGGGTTAGGATCTTACCTGTGTCACTGGCCATTGTATTTTCAGCAACATTGTTTGTGAGCTTAATGTTTGGTAATAGATGAGATAAATGGGCGGATGGATTATATGTAAGTCAGTGTATGAGTATGTGATGTTTGGTGGCTAGAAATGAATATACTCTTTCTTTATTAAAGGCATGTAAGTTTCCATGGAGAGGGAAACAAGTCTGGATAGATAAAGATTTAGATTATGGAGTACCTGGCATGCTGAATTTAGACTAGAGATGCTGAGTGTCAAGAAATTCACCAGTAATAGTATTTAAAGGTGCCTAATAAACATCTAAATCTTCTAGATAAGGAAACTAGGTGTATACCATTAACCTAGTATCACACAGGTGAGAGCTAAAAGAGCATCAAAACGCAGGTACATTTGATTCTGATTTTATTTGCAAATTTGCCTACTCAGTGAAATTTTAGAAGCCTAAAATTAATATTTGCAGTACTTTCTAGGTCCTTCACAGATGTGTACAGAGCAGCAAATTTTGAATCACCAAATGTTCCTATTGCCAGCTGTGATGTGCCTTACTGAGCAAATCCGTGTGTCAGATTATCCTCTTTCAGACATGTATGCATACATAGTGCTATTGGGTGAGAGTTTAGAATTAATAAATGGACAACCTGTATTAATGCTTCTTTAAACAGAAACATATAAAACAAAATGTTGTGACTAGACTCTCACAGGAATGCTAACTCTAGGAGCAATGAATCAGTACTTGCTAGTTCAGTATTCTGAGCAACTTAATAGATGTAACTAGTGTGAATATAAAAAATCAGCTTTATATATTTTCTTATTTGTTCAAATAGTCATTAGGTGGTTGTTTAATTTAGTCAGTTATCTGTTTATATCAATTAATTTCTGTTTACATATGTTTTCAATATGTATATTATATATTTTATATATATTTATGCTCAAAATTTGTAATGAAAATATCCTCATAAATTTCCAATATTCTGTGATTCTGCCTGACAAAGTATAGTTTTTGTCACTGATTCTAGTCTTTGCCTTTATTCAAAAACAGTTTGTATTTTTGTTTATTATTCTTTTCTTTTCTTTTCTTTTCTTTTTTCGAGATGGGGTCTTGTTCTGTTGCCCAGGCTGGAGTGCAGTGGCGCCATCTTGGCTCACTGTAAGCTCTGCCTTCCAGGTTGAAGCGATTCTCCTGCCTTAGCTTCCCGAGTAGCTGGGACTACAGGTGCATGCCACTGTGCCTGGCTAATTTTTTGTATTTTTGGTAGAGACAGGGTTTCACTGTGTTAGCTAGGATGGTCTCTATATTCTGACCTCATGATCCACCCACCTCAGCCTCCCAAAGTGCTGGGATTACAGGCTGAGCCATTGTGCCCCGCCTGGTTTATTATGCTTTATGTTACTGTATTCCTCTTTAGGTATAAAGACCGTTAAGAAAAACTTGCTGTTGAAATCTACTTTAAAAAACTTTTTAGCTAAAGACTACCCTAAAGAACTGCTCTAAAAACTAAATAACCTCTTAGTCATCCTTCATGCTTCTATGTGAATTTATGCCACAGCTTTACCTTTGCCAGTGCCATTTGCATTTTGATGAAAGTGCAGAAATAAAGTCTACACACCTTTGCCAATGAATTCCAGGAATCTTTGAGCAGGAAGGAACATTATTTGTCGGGTAATAGAATCTTGATGCTTCTATAATTATACCATTTGGGAAGTGCTGTTGTCTGGATGTTTGTGTCTACCCAAACTTTATATGGTTAAACACTAATTCCAAAGGTGATGGTATTAGTGTGGGGTCTTTGGGAAATGATCAGTCATGAGAGTGGAGCCCTTATGGATGGAATCAGTGCTCCCATAAAAGAGACCTAGGGGCCAGGCATGGTGGTGCATGCCTGTAATCCCAGAACTTTGAGAGGCCATGTTGGGTGGATCACCTGAGATCAGGAGTTCAAGACCAGCCTGGCCAGCAGCATGGTGAAATCCCGTCTCTACTAAAAACACAAAATTAGTTGGGTGTGGTGGTGCATGCCTGTAATCCCAACTACTCGGGGGGCTGAGGCTGGAGAATCACTTGAATCTGGGAGGCAGAGGTTGCAGTGACCTGAGTTTGTGCCATTGCACTCCAGTCTGGGCAACAAGAGTGAAACTCTGTCTCAAAAATAAATAAATAAATAAATAATAAAATAAAAGAAGCCTATGGAGCTTCTACTATGTGAGGGCAAAATGAAAAGGCACCACCACTGAAGAGGGCCCTCACCAGACACGGAATCTGCTAGTGCCTTAACCTTGAACTTCCAACCCTGAAAACTATGAGAAATAAATTTCAGTTGTTTGTAAGCCACCCAATCTATGATATTTCCTCATAGCATCTGTAATGGACTAATACAGGAAGCTTTCTCTCCTCTGAGAGTTATT